GGAACTGGGATTGTCATGTAATTCAATCTTGTTTGTAATTCAAATATATAAAAAGAAGAAGAAGAAGAAGAACCAACAACAACAAAAAAGAAATTCTGGGATCACTATGAAAAGCAATCCCAGTGAGTAAATTCAGCCTGCAGCCCTCCACTGGCAGAACTCTCTGCCCACCCAACTGATGGACCTCTCGGCTGCCACCTCAGGCTGAGATAAGAACAACCATAAATTTGAAACATCCTGGGCGTTTGGACTTGTTCCATAATAATGTTCTTCAAATATTGTAAAGCACCCACTATTAAGTGATTGTTACTTAAAGTTATAAGGATGATTCAACAAATGGTGTTGGCACAACTGGATTCAGACATGCAGACGATTGCAGATAGATCCATATCTATCACCATGCACAAAACTCAAGTCCAAATGGATCAAAGATCTCAATATAAATCCAGTCACACTGAACCTTCTAGAAGAGAAAGTGGGAGATACCCTTGAAAGAGTTGGTACAGGAGACTGCTTCCTGAACATTACACTAGTAGCACAGACACTGAGATCTACAATTAATAAATGGGACCTCCTGAAACTGAGAAGCTTCTGGAAGGCAAAGGACACAATAAGACAAAACGACAGCCCACAGAAAGGGAAAAGATCTTCACCAACCCCACATCTGACAGAAAGCTGATTTCCAAAATATACAATAACCTCAAGAAGCTAGCCACCAAAACATCAATCAATGAAATTAAAAAGTGGGGTGCAGAACTAAATACAGAATTCTCAACAGAGGAGTCTAAAATGGCTGAAAGACACATAAGAAGGTGCTCAAAATCCTTACCCATCAGAGAAATGCAACTCAAAACAACTCTGAGATACCGTCTTACACCAGCTAGAATGGGTAAAATCAAATACACCAATGACAATCTATGCTGGAGAAGACGCGGAGAAAAAGGAACACTGTTCCATTGCTGGTGGGAGTGCAAACTTGTAAGACCACTTTGGAAATCAATATGGCGATTGCTCAGGAAAATGGGAATCAGTCTGCCTCAAGATCCAGCAATTCCTCTCTTGGGCATATACCCAAATAATGCACATTCATACAACAAGGACATATGTTCAACCATGTTCATAGCACCATTATTTGTAATAGCCAGAACCTGGAAGCAACCTAAATGCCCCTCAATGGATTGAGTAAATGTGGTACATTTATACAATGGAGTATTACTCAGCAGAAAAAAGCAATGGAATCTTGAAATTCACAGGCAAATTGATGGAACTAGTAGAAACCTTCCTGAGTGAGCTAACCCAGTCGCAAAAAGAGTAACATGGTATGTACTCACTCATATATGAATTATAGACATAAAACAAAGGATTACCAGCCTACAATCCTCTTCACCCAAGAAACTAGGAAACTTGAAGAACTCTAAAGGATAAATGAATGGACCCCAAGAATGGGAAGGGGCAGGAACTCCTGAGCTAATTGGGAGCATGAGGGTAGGGGAGAGGGAGCTGCCAGAATGAGAGGAGAAGAGGAGTGGAGACAAGGAAATAGAGGAGCAGAAAGGTTAAGAGATCTACAAGGATGACACCAACTGACATTCTAGGCAATGGTGGAGAGGATGCCTTAAATGCCCTTCCCCTATAATGAGACTGATGACTACTTTATATGCCATCCTATATCCCTCATCCAGTGGCTGATGGAAGCAGAGGCAGACACCCACAGCTATACTCTGAGCTGAACTCTGGAACCCAGTTGCAGAGAGGGAGGAATGAAGATCAAAGGGGTCGGGACCAGGCTGGTGAAACCCACAGAAACAGCTGGC